CGGGAGGCTGAGGCAGGAGGATCGCTTGAGCCCAGGAGTTTGAGGTTGCTGTGAGCTAGGCTGACGCCATGGCACTCTAGCCCGGGCAACAGAGCCAGACTCTGTCTCAGAAAAATAAAAAAATTTAAAAACCAAACAAAAAAACTTAGTATCCCGATGAAACTCAAACAATTAATTTGCATTTCCTCTCTATGCAAAAGACTTACCATCCCACGGTCGCACTGGTCAGGATCGCATCGAACAGCAGTGTTGATAAGCCAGCTGTGATCACCTGCAGAAATAATTCCAACAAAAGGTCATCAGAGCAGCAGGACTCCAGTAACTTCCAAAGTCATTCTGCATAAGCTTACTTAGTATTAGTTCTAGATCCCTGACATTAGCCGTTGGTTCCCACTTCCTGTCCTTTCCCCCATACGCTTCCTCGTCCCCTGTATTTAGTGCTGCCACTGAGCAAAGCATTTGGTGTAGAAAAGGCTAAGTCCTAGTCTGTTTTAGAGGTGGGAATCTTCAAAGAAGCATTTATTAATAACTTCCAAACTCTTCAAAAGAGGAGGCACACAGCCAGCATCTCCCTCACCTCTCTCCAGGGAAGAGGAACATTAAGAATATTCGTTTCCATCTTGTCTCAGCGGTGCAGAACTCATCTCCAAGGTCAGGCGCACTTGTTAACCTGTTCCCGAATCCTCCAGATAAAACTAATCTGATATCCTGCCTCCATCCAACACATTGCCTCTCCCACCTCTTCTAATCGCCATCTCTCCTAATCCCCATCTTTCTAGCCCAGGACACACCTGCTAGGAAACCAGGTGCTTCCTGGGGAAGACAGTAAGTCAATAATTAACTCTTTGCAAATAGCTAGAAGGCAAAGGAGAGGAAAGAGGTTATCTCCGTATCTCTCAGAGCCAGAAATTCCAGAAAAGTCTCTTAGAAATGGCAATCACAGGACTCAGACTCCAGAGGTGCCTCTCAACAGTCGGCACAAAGAGTGTTTGTGAACCAATCGCCCAACTTTGTCCATGATTGAAATGTCTGCTTATGAAGATGTTTCTTATTTCGAGAATTCTGTATTCTGCAGGTCAAAATAGCTTCTATGAGGAGGGTGACCCTAAGGACCTGCTTTCTTGTAGTGTGAAGGGAACAGCAGGCCCTGTTGGGATTGGGATGAGGGGCACTCAGGCTGGAGGGCCTCAGAAACACCAACTGCCACCTCACTCAAGGGGACTTCCTGTGCTGTCCTGGAGGCCTCCTCGGGTCTCCCAGGTGGGGACAAGGCAGCAAGCAGATGGCAGAAGGAAGGAGTATACGTGAAGAACCTTGACCTCACTCGTTTACTATGTCTGAAAGAAGTCTGGAACTACAAATGCAGAACCTTCAGGATATAAACTTTGTGAGATGTTGGAACCTTTGTAGTTTACCCATTTGGAGTCACTTTCTGTTTGTCTCTCACTATTGATGTGCAGCAAAAACCTTGAACAGAAAAAGACCTGTGTTTTGTTTTCAGGGACAATGAAGAAGTAGAAACTGGTCAGAGAGACAACTGCAAAGCAGAACACAAAGGATAAGGGGAGAGATTTCTCAAAGCGATCAGTGGTAGCTTTTTTTTTTCTTTTTTTTTTTTTTGAGACAGAGCCTTGCTCTGTTGCCCAGGCTAGAGTGCCGTGGGGTTAGCCTAGCTCACAGCAACCTCAAACTCCTGGGCTCAAACGATCCTCCTGCTTCAGCCTCCCGAGTAGCTGGGACTACAGGTGCATGCCACCATATCCTGCTGATTTTTTGCTTCTGTTTTTAGTTGCCCGGCTAATTTTCTATTGTTAGTAGAGACAGGGTCTCACTCTTGCTCTGTCTGGTCTCGAACTCCTGACCTCAAGCCATCCCCCTGCCTTGGCCTCCCAGAGTGGTAGGATTACAGGCGTGAGCCACCAATGCCAGCCAGGTTTTTTTTGTTAAAGTGCACGATGAATGACACCTGCTGCTTTTTCCTTTTCTTTAAAAACTTAACATTTGAATTAGGTCTTGTGCATCTATGGTCATAAATGAAGTGGGCCTAAAATGTTACTACCCTGCAACACCATTGTCTGGTTCTGGAAACAAGGTTATTCTAAGCACAGAAGTGAGCTCATCAGCTTCCCTGCTTATTCTCCTGTAAAGAATAAGGACGATCTTGACTGTGAACGATCTGAACCCTGACTTGAAGGCCCCCGGACCTGGAGCTACTAGCTGGGGATGGCTTTTCACGGCCATTGTCCTAATCAAGCCTTCTCTTTCTCCTTGTTGCAAGTTTTCCATTTTCATTTTTTCCAAAAATGTATTTCATCTAGGTTTCCTAATTCACTAACATTTAGCTGTTTGGGGAAATATTATACCGTTTGTGGTTGGTTTTATTACTTTCCTTTTTATTCATTGTCATTTTTCTCTTCCTTTTCTTTTTTCCCTTCATTAGTCTTGATGGAAGTCAACTATCTTGTTAATCCTTCTTTCCTTTTGCAACTTCTCGGACATTTCCTGGGATGGTGCCAATGGGGACGTATTTCTTGGACTTGCTGAAAAGGCTCCATCCCACTGATGGATGTCAGCCATGCTGGCAGCTGGGTGTAATGAACACGTCACTCGATTTATGAAAGACCCAACTTGCCTTTTCTATTTCTTCACCATTGTCTTCATCTCCTTTGTCCCTTCGTACCAGCTCTGCAAGGCCATCTTTGGTGGGGATCTGTCCTTATTCTCCAATAGCCTCTTTCATGTGACTTTTAGTCCAGCTGTGACGAGGGACGCCTCCCCGTGCCCCGCAACACTCACAGCCTGGGACTTGTGCCTCTGTTCCTCCGTGAGCTTCTTTAGCTGAGGAGGACTCCTGTCTGCCGTGGGATAGACAGCTGACCTGCTTTTTCCCACTAACTGCACCTTTTGCCAAGAAAAACACATCTTAAAATTTTCAAACCAGTCTTTACACGAAAATAAGCTTGGTTCGGCAGCCACGCTGGTGCCTTCGCCATCTGCTGCTTCCTGGAAATGTTTGTACAGCCTCCTGCCTTTCTCCTGAGCCACCTTTTCAAACTTCTCCAACGTTTTATCGCTCAGCAAGCAAGTTTTCTACTGGCTGAGACGCTCATGGAAAGTTTACAAATCGGGTTGTCTATTTCTGTAGAGAATGTATAGCAAAGTCGTTTGCACTCTGCAGAGCTGCTGGGGGGTCGCTGGGCCACTTCCTCATCTATTTGGTGAGAACCATCAGTTTCTTAGACTTCTGTACTTCCTTCACTTCCATCGCTAGCCCTGGCAGCCAGCTCTCTTTTTGGAGGCATTTTCTCTCTCTCTCTTTCTCTCTCTCTCTCTCTCACAGAGTCACCAAAGTTCTACCACTTCACAAAAGTCACTTCGTAAGAAAGGATAGGTAGCAGCTGACAAGGCCTCTCAGAGAGGTGGCTGCTGGGCGGCTGCCAGCCTGGCTCCGGCTGAGGGACTCCCCACCACACACCGCCCTCACCAAGGGTGAGGTTTGAATTCATGTCTCAACAGAGTGACAGCTTTCTGTACACCAGGGGCCTTCGGGGCTGCGTGAGAACACCCCAAAGTGGAAATGTTAAATCTGCTCATGCCAAGGGTCCCTCTGCACTCCTAAATCCACGGAGGGGGAGCAGAACACAGGAGTGGCTGAGTGTGCCACGTCTGGTCACAGAACGTCCCATGCACGGACACCTGCGGGCAGAACCTGAGAGGTGGAAGGAAGGGACTCCCTTAGCTCACAGGTGGGGAGACTGTGCTCCCGAGATGGTGTGTGACGTGTTCCAGGAGCGTAGCTAGCTTGAGGCAGTGAGCAGTAGAACCAAGGCCCTTCTTTCCTTGCCTTCAACCTCGGAAAAGAGCAGAAGGCCTCAGGCTCCAAGGCTTTAGGTGTGATGCCACTTGCTCTCGCAACAGAAATCAATCCCAGTGCATCTCACTACAGGATCATGGGGTAAGATCAACTCCCAACATCCCAGAGCTGAGAGCCAGGTCCCAGATGTTACCAAGCCTATTGCAGTGTGCTTACCACGGGGCCACCAGGTGCTCCGACCCCTTCAACGTCTCCAGCTATGTTCAATAGGATAATATTGCCCAAATCTCTCAAATACATTACATTTGCTCTCCAAAAAAAGTCAGTAAAAGCATAAACATAAAAAAACACAACAAACTTTTAAAAATGGCTCAAATCTGCCCATAAAAAAGAACTTCAAATTACTCTTGCAACTTGCCATTCAAGAAGACCTAAGAAATAGCCATTACCTGTCCCACCAATTGTTGCTCTTGCTTTTAAAAAACATTTTCAAAAATACATATTTTTCTCCAATAAGAAGGTTATCATTTGAGGAATGTCTCCTTCAGTCACACAGACCTGAATAACAAACACCAGGACCTGCCACAGGCCGAGGGATGCCAACAACAGCAGAACTCAATACAACGCATCGGCCGCCGGGCTTTGAACTTCCTGGCTTTGTCAACGGATGTCACAACCTCTGTGTTATTTAAACAGATTTTGGTATTTAAAACAGATTGAGTTTGTTTTTTTAAACATTCATTTCAATCCTAAGACAAATTTTCTGTTTAAGGGAGTAAAGGAGGGAGGGTTGTAAGTGGGAATTTGTCAGATAGTCAGGTATCTGGGGGAGAATCAGAGATCCAGCTTTATTGTTTTGTTGGCTTTTAAATGTCTGTGACTCTTAAGGAAAAAGTGATGCATATAAGGCCTTCCCTGCCTGCTTCTTCAGCCCAGTTAAACGGGTTGTAGTTTTCCAAACACAGTTTCATATCATCATCTTGCTTTTGCTCAGCAAGTTCTCTCTGACCAGAATAATTTCGTAGGACTGTCCCACACAATTCCTACTCGCCATTCAAAAATCCATCCCTAGAAAACTTTTCCTGAACCTGGCCCCTACCCACACCCCCAGCTGGATCAGGTGCTTCTCAGGGCTTCCGCGATCCCTTTGCCACTGCACACCCCACACTCTGCTGGAATATGTGGTCTCCCCAGTCAGGGTGTGTGTTATTCGTCGTGTCCAGGGCTAGCAATAGAGGCCTGCATGTGCTAAGTGCCTGATACATTTTACATAACTGCACTAGATCACCAGAGCTGGTAAAATAACCCCTAAGGTCACAATACTGTTTTTAAATCATATATTAGAGACAACTGGAACCAAGGACTTGAGAAGCACTGGGACACTCTCTCTGCCCCTCATCTTTGACCAATTACCTCCATGCGGCTAGAAAGAGCTCCACGGAGAGGATCTAAGACTG